TCATGACGTGAGAAGCCTTTCTGGGCCAACAAGAGCTAACTTGATCCCATCTGTCAAGATAGCAAAGGACCACTAGTCATTGCTGGGCCCAGAGGGTCACTTGTCAGAGAGATACTCCCCTGACAGCCAGCCACCTTCCTCTCTCACCAGCAGCTATCTGGCCATAAAGCCATTCAGATAGTAATGTAGTACGTCAGATAGTCATTTAATTATTATGGTCTTCCCTGTAGCAATTATGATTTGCTTTATTGCAGATAACAGAAAAAAATGTAGAATAAAGCCACTAACGGCAAAAACTGTGGGTTCAGGTTCTTCAGATGAGATGCGCAAGGCTCTCTTCATGAATTAACATGAGTTATGAGTTCTACTTCAAAAATGTAATTGAAATGCAATTCCGGAGAAATCTATTTTTGAGTGGATAATAAAAATATTTCATGATATCTAGTATACATGCCAGAAACGGGGCATATTTTATGGAGTTGATTCCATTCCCATCTCATTGAATGCTCCGTGTATTTTGTGTGGTTGTTTTCCTGTTTTCACTTGGGACGGGTGCCCCCGCCTGCGGCTGGGGAGTCCACAAGGAGTGTTCCTGCAGTTCTGCTTGCATGACTCATGTGTGTCTATGTGTGATCAGAGGTTCAGAGTGAATCTAAATGAAAGAGATTATTATTATTATTGTTGTTGTTGAATGATCACCATTTCTTTTTCAACTTTGTTCATGAACCACAAGAAGAGAAACTTTAGAAAGGTAGAGAGATAAACTCAGTAGAATAGATTGTTTCTTGGTTGGTGAGGTAAACATTTCACATGTTCTCACTTCCCAACATTCCATTCTCTTCCTCAGAGAGCACCTGAAAGAGTATTAGTTCTGGATGCAGCAAAGGACAGTGGACAGGTGTTCTCTGCCCAGGCAAGGGATGGCATGTAATAGGCTCTAGGCCCATTGGAGACAAGGAAGTTGAACTAAGAGGAGTTCAGCCATCCAGCAGCCCTCTGATCTGACTTTTCCTGCAGTGGGGACTGGTGGTTCCAGGTCTTGTCTACAGTGTCTAAAATTCCCCATGTTAACTTTCTCTCCTCCCACTGTGACTACCAGAACTGATATCTTTCTTGATATAGGCCCAGTTTAAATAATCTGTTACTGTTGCTTACCACCAAAGACTCCCAGTTGCAGGCTAGAGGTGTGATTCAAGTGGTAGAACACCTGCCTAGCAAGTGTGAGGCCCTTCGTCCAAACTTCAATACTTGAAAAAGAAACAAAAGTCCTAATTTTGATACACTGATAACAATTGGACTCTGCGGCTTACCACCTCTGCACCGAAGGACAATTCACCTCCTTGGACTTCAATGTCTTTATCTCTGAAGCAGGGCCGTTTTCATGGTCTATTTGGAGGAAAGCACAGCATTCAAATGTGATGTTTCCAGGAGAGAACTTAGCATAGTTCAGAACATAGGGATGCTCACTGCATAGTGTCTATACGGTTATTGTTATCATCAAATCCTTATCATCTTATTGCTCTCAACAATACCTGGCACACAGTCTGCATCCAAATAACCCATTTCTTCACTCCTTCCTCAGATCCCTTTCCTGAGGTCAGAGGGAAGAGCAAAACTCCATGGTCCCTTCTCCACACGTGAACTAGATGAGTAGAATTATACTTTGAAGATAAAAGTAAAGGCATAAGGAGAATAAACATGGACCCCTGGGCACTGCCCAAAAGACTAGAAAGTGGGGTATTGTTCTGAGTTTACTTGCTCAGCCCAGCCCTTTGGAGTATGGACATGCTGCCACGTGGCCTGCTGATAGGATTGATTCTGATACCGCCTGCTGTGGCCCAGGCTAACTCCAGGCATGCATCTGGATGCCTGGGGTAGCACTCTGCCTAACACTACAGCATGAGAAGGCATGCAGACCATCTTAAGACACAGTAGAGCCCTGTGCTCTTTGTGGGGGTGTGGCAGAGCAGGCCACACAGCAGGGTGTCCTGTGTGGGGTCTCATGGTGGCCCAGAAACACACTGCTCTTTGTGGGCTGCTGGGTGTCAACTTTGTCTGTGCTGCACACCTGTTATTATTCCCTGCTGGGATGTCAGGATGGATTTCTCTGCAAGAGGATTCTGTAGGATACTCCAGAGATGCAGGGTAGAGCTCCTCATCCCTGGGAGAATCAAATCTAAGCTCTCAGCGCATGTCCATTCCGGTTTCATCTGTCCAGTCTTCTCTTTAGCTTTTCCTTCCACCCAGGCCACAGGCCCTGACTGTCCTACCAGGCAGCTGAACGTTGTGCTGGGCTACAGCTGTTTTTCTCTTTCCCGCTCCATCTGTCCCCAAATGTGTGTCCGCTCTCCCTGCCCTGTAGGTGCGTTTCCAGGTCACATTCCTCTCACATGTTGAACACTTCTTTGCCAAGCTGATCCCACTTATCAGTTATTATTGTCTGCTCTTTATCACAAAATCACTAGTCACTATTCTAAGTTCATAGACTTTTTACTTCATGCTTTTTACTTCCCGGTTGTGAATTGGTAGGCATTTGGTAGCAGGAAAGTCTGAAACTCAGAGTGAGATGAATCCTTAGTTTCTGACCCACTTTTGAGTCCTGCTAGCCAGCCACGGGAAGTCCTGATGCCATTCTGAGTGCCAGTTTCTCCATTTATAGCAAGAAGTCCTGGCTAGATGGTTTGTGATGCCGCCTCTGATACAGGGCTTGGGAGCCTGGAGACCAGGGGCAGTATCATATATACCACATGGCCTATTGAAGCCGTAATGAGAATCATTGCATGTGGTTGTCTCATGCAGTGTGTACGTGTGTCTGTTGTACATAATGCATGCACATACATTCTTATTTTACATTCATTCTATGTGTATTATGTATGTATACATAAACATAGCAAGAGAATATTGAGTCAATTTCTACACAATCTCACTGTTATATAGCATCATACCTTATATATGTGCATATGCTTGATATACATAACTACATATGGTATATCTATGATACATGTACGGTATAGCTATTACTATGTATGTGTATATGTGTGTATCCATCCATCCATCTATCCATCATCTATCACCTGTTTATCTAAGAGTGATCACACATGAGCTGTGTATCAGCACTGGGGAATCTGTAATGAATAAAACCATTTCTACTGTTATAGAGAAGTAGCGATCAAGGTCAAATAGCCCATACATGAAAGACAGTAAAAACCAGCTAAGGGGATTGATACTCAGAGAGGGAGAAGGTTTCTGAGAAGGAAACAGAGCACACAAAGGTATGAAAGAAGTCAGGAAAGAAGCCAAGCAATAAGAACAAGAGGAATGGCCTACAAAGGCCCTGTGGTGGGACTTCAGTACATTCCTTTGAACTTCGCATTCGCCTCTGGGAGTGTCTTGTTAAAATATGATTTTACACAAAACAAGAAGCATGTTGAACTGCTAATGATTTATTTGGTGTGAATGTGGAATAATGAACAGAGCTTAGAATGTGTGGTGGAAACTTCTAGCTTGAGCCGACATTGTGAGTTAAGGAAAAGACACCGAACCTCTGGAAATCTCAGCTGTTTTCCTGGGAAAATGGGGGAAATGGTGGGTCTCTACCTGCTATGGTGTTGACCAGGAAATAATGTCCGTAACAGTGGTTTGTTTGCTGTAAATAAATACTATAACAATAATGTGTTCGGTTTCTACAAACAGTTCACAGTGTTTTAATCTCTCACACTGCATTTCTCTTTCCCAGGGGCTCAGAGAGGTTGGGGCCAGCTTTACTTAATAGAGTTGTATCTCGGTCCAGAGAAAGAGCTAATGGTATCCATGATGGAAGGATAGTTAGATTAGTTTGGTTTTCAGATAGATACTTATGCTTTCTCTCCCAAGACCAGTCTCAAACTGTGACCCTTCTCCTCCTGAGTAGCTGGGATTCTGGCTATGTACCACTGTTCCTCGCTCATGAGGGTGGCTTTCAAATGAATGTCAGGTTCTTTCTCTAAAAGGCTTTGGTTCCAGAAATGCTTCAGATTTTGGGGAGTCTGAAGTGATAAACATACCAAATATTCTATATCACTGTCCAACAGCAAAACTGGGGGTAGCAGCCTGTGACAAAACACTGATTTTGTTGTTGTTGTTGTTGTACCTAGGATAAAGATCATAAGCACTCATCAACTCAGGTGGCTAACAAGATAGGAAAATATATTAGAATGGAACTCTGGTCCTCAGACCTGGGACCGTGGGGCCTTCGTGTAGGCCTCTGGGCCTGGTTTTCACCAGGTACAGCAAACCTAGAAGCAAGCAGACTGGTTAGCATCTTTCACAGCTGTGAATCCTGGGCACAGATCTCAGCTCCTCACTCTTACAGTGTCCCCACACAATTGGCATTTTCTTCCCTCAAATTCAAAGGCACCCTGCATTGGTTGGGGGTCTGAGTTTTCAATCTGACAAGTTGGAGGGACAAAGGTAACCTTGTCCCTTTCTGCCACTGATGCCCAGGGCAGTGACAGTGGGGCTGCTGATCACAGAAAAGAACTGGAGGACAGGGTAGCTCCGTTGAATTGTATGTAAATGGTATTTTTTTCCTTTATTCCTGTGAAATCTCTATACTTCCCTGGGGACATGGCTGTTGAGGATTGTGAGACTCTCTGATATTTGCTCCTTGGGGATTTTCCCTCTTGAAAAATCACTGTGGTACCAGAACTATTTTGCCCCCATGAAGACGATGTCCAAATCTCAAAATCTAGGATGTTTTAAGACAGGATTCCAACCTCATTATTGCCAGGAATAAAATTCATCCAAGGTAAAGCGTCCTCTCAGAATTGAAATCCATCTCAGAGTGGCTTTTCTTTCTCCTTTGTTTTTTAAAGCTAAGCAATTACCTTTTTTTTTTTAAGGAAAAAAAAAGTGCAAATGCTCCAACCTCTCTTTTCTCCCCTTTCATTTATTTGAAATTGAACTTAACAAAGTCAGTTCCGAGCAAGCACTATATATGAGTAATGCTTTTTGTCCATAAAGGAGCATTGACTGCCATGGTCTGGGAATGCTGACTCCGTCTGCTTTGTGTGAGTATCCACAATGACAGAACGCCCATGTCACAGGGGATAATGAAACTATAAATTGTTTTCACGAATGCTCTCAATTTGGGTTTTTACGGGACAAATTCAAAAGGTATTTAGTGCCACATTTCCCATAGGTGAATAACAGCAGATGGTGTCATTTATCCGGTGGAAGTGGAGTCCGAGGCTGGGCTCAGGCCAGCCAGTGTAGGTGACTGATTGGCAGGGGAGAATGGTTGCTGGTGCAGGGCAGTGGAGCTGAGGACAGGCCTGAGCTCCAGCTTTTGGGGAATCACTCAAAGTACAACTAAAATACTTAGCTCTGAAGATCGGTATCTAGGTGGTAGTTGTCGGCATTGAATCATGGAAGTTGGGCATATCAGGCTGAGCTAGTGAGCATATTCCTGAGTCAAAAAAACCAAAAACCAAAAAACATTGAGAATTGGGCACTGGTGGCTCACATCTATAATCATAGCTATCCTAGATTTGAGGATCATAATGGGAAGCCAGTCTGGGCAGGAAAATCTATAGAGACTTACCTCCAGTTAATCACCAAAAAGCCAGATGTGGACTTAAAGCTCAAGAGATAGAGTGCTAGCCTTGAGCAAAAGAAGCTCAAGGACAGTGTCTAGGCCCTGAGTTTAAGCCCTAGGACCAACACACACACACACACACACACACACACACACACACACACACACACACACGGAGAGGGATGGTGGGTGAATACAGTCGTAAAACACAATGTACATATGTGAACATTGAACTTGGCAGTGCAAGTGAATGGGTGGAATTGGGAGAGATGGGAGCATGATGGAGAGGTGACACTAATCAAGATACAGTGTACTCTGAAACTGACATGTTGAATTAAAACCCCTGTGCACAATTACTTAAAGATAATTTAAAAACCCAAAACATTGCTGAGTTTTCTGGGCAAGAGTAATTGGGTGTAGTGGTTTCTAGTTCAATTCAGTTATTTTGCTTTACATTTTGGGGTTATTTTTAAAATTACAAGAGTCTTATGGATTTATCTCAGAAAATTTAAAAAAAAAACAGAAAAATTTCAAAATGTTGAGCAAAAATTTTTTTTACCAAGAGATCATTATTAGCAATATGTTTGCAAACATTTTTATTCAGTGTCTTTATGCAATATATTTTAATAAAATATGTGTGTGTGTGTGTGTGTGTGTGTGTGTGCACCAGTACTAGGACTTGATCTCAGGACCTCACACTCTTCTTGGCTTTTTCATTCAAGGCTGACACTCTACCTCTACTTCTCGCTTTTTGGTGGTTAAGTGGAAATAAGAGTCTCATGGACTTTGTTGTCTAGGTAACTTCAAACTTTAATCCTCAGATCTCAGCCTCCTGAGTAGCTAGGATTATAGGTATGAGCCACCAGCACTTGCCTAAATTTTATTCTTTTCTGGATGTTTACAATTTTTAAAGCAAAACTTGAGCCTAGCTTTCTTATTAACTGATTTATATAGCTTAAAAATATCCTTTTTTTAAAAAACGTACTGATGAAGTGAATTATTTGATTTGTCCCTGTTTGTGAAAGTTCATGACCATCTAAAGTCGTGGTTCTGTCCTTGTGGGAGTGTGCATCAGACACTGTAGCAGACTTTATGTACTAGCAAGTATTCCCTACTACATGGTCCCTAAGCAGAAAAAGGACAGGGGTTGGGTTAGAGGTGTGGCTCAGTGGTAGAGTGCCTGCCTAGCAAGTTCCAAGGTCCTGAGTTCAAACTCCAGTACTGCCAAAAAAATAGTCCAGCATGAAGCCTGTGTGAAGGCTGGTGGGCCCTTTCTGACCTGTTGCTGGATGTGTTGGATCCACAGTATCTGGTGTGTAAACGAAAGCTGGAGAGCAAGAAGGAGGCCCTGCTGATCCTCTCCAAGGAGCTGGACACCTGCCAGCAGGAGAGGGACCAATACAAACTCATGGCCAATCAGCTCCGAGAGCGCCACCAGTCCCTGAAGAAGAAGTACCGGGAGCTGATCGTATGTATTTCCTCATACAGCGCTGCCATCCCTCCATGCAGGGCGTGGGGGGCAGTGATTGCATTCAGACATTCCTCAAGTGTGAAAGTGAAGAAGTGAAGTTATCCATTTCCTCCAAACCCAGGCCCACCCCAGGCCCACCCCAGGGAGCATGAATGCTTCCAGACTGCTTTTTCTGTCCTGGAATAGACACAGGGCTGTGAGTGTGCATGTGTGGGTGTGAGTGTGTGCATGTGTGTGAACACATATATGTCTCTGTTTCTTTGTTCATTGATTTGAATCTAACATAGGACCTCATGCATGCTAGGCAGATGCTCTGGCACTGAGCTATATCCTCACGCCTGTTTTTTCTTTCTTTCTTTCTTATTTTATTTTGAGACAGGGCCTCACTGAGTTGCTGAATCTGACCTTAAACTCATGATCTCCTCCTCCCTCCCTGACCCCCCCAAACCCATCTTAGCCTCCCAAAGAGCTGGGATCGCAGGCATGTGTCCAACTCATCCCCCCTTCCTGCCCCCCCTTTTAAGTGCAGACACTGTTGCTCACTTTTCCTTCTTGAGGTGAGGTCACTGTATTTCCCTGGAGTAGAACTAGAACAGAAACATTCTTTGGGCTCAAATAATGCAGAATTCTGCATGGGAACAGCATCTAAATTAGGGAGCATTGTCTCACTCACTTCAAGTGTTCATAGCTCCCAAATGGCACAAAAGGAAAGAACTTCAGTTCCTGAAAGGCAAGAAGTTCTACAGGTCTGGCTGTTCGAAATGTTGCTTGATTTTGAACAAATCCTATTATGTTCCCTTTCCGTGTGTGTGTGTGTGTGTGTGTGTGTGTGTGTGTGTGTGTGTGTGTGTGTGTGAGAGAGAGAGAGAGAGAGAGAGAGAATCAGTCACTGTTTCTTTGGTTCTATTTAAAAGAGGAACACCAGCCAAATGAACTATTACTTTAGATTAGACTGTGCTCAGAAACGATTTTGATCAATCTCAGGGTCTTTTTAAAGGTTGCATCGATTTAGAAAATATGTAAATTTGGTCCTAATTAAAAGTGATTCCCAAGGCAGGAGTGGGGAGCCTCCAGCTCACGGATGATATAACGTCTGTGAAGTCATTTGGTCTGACCCTGCCAAAGCAACCAAGGCAGGTCAATAAATCAAGGTGGTGTGTTGTTTTCTTTTTTTCAAATAGCGATGTAAATTTATATTGAGTGAATCATAATAATAGTGTGAAATTTGAGGGCAAGCAAGGAACATCCGGAAGAAAGGTTCCCCATCCTTACTAGGAGGTTCTCCAAAGTCATTCTGGTTCAGTTCCAGTTAACTTCTTAACAGGACACTTGAGCTTGTTTTTCCACATTGCTTGCAGGATGGTGAGGATGGGTTGGAGAGATTCATAGTTTAAGCACATATAGTGAACTGCAGTATTTGTTTTTCCATAGGATGGAGACCCGTCACTTCCCCCTGAGAAGAGGAAGCAGGTAAGACTTACTCTGATGACTATTGGATGAGGATAATTGTTGACTGACAGCAATGAACACAGCGTGCTCCTCATTTCCCAGAGTCCTTTGTGTTGGTGGAACACAACAGAGATTCTGATGGTGAAGAGGGGAGGGGAGGCAGCCCAGTCTAGCAGGTGACCTCGTCCCTTTGTTTTCTGTGGATTCTGTTGGCAAACTTGGAGTGGAGCAGCTTGGCTGTTTAGAAGCTGTGTACTCTTCTGCTCTTTGATCCTTTCATTCAGACTTAAACCCATCTTCCATCAAAACTCAGAGTTTACTTTAATTCTGTGCATGGTAGCCATCATTATTTACTGACATCTATTTTTTCTCAGATCCTCATATATCCATGCTTGGCTTCTGAACTCAGAAGTATTGTTCCATTGAGCTTCCTGTATAGTTTTGTGGTTATGATGCATTATTTTAACTCTTTCTACTTTACATTACTTTAATATCTGCTTACAACTGGTCTCCTCTTTATTCTTTTTTTCAAACATTTCTTTTCTTTCTTCTTTCTTTTGTGGTACTGAGTTTTGAACTCCAAGCCTCAACTTACCTCCTTTGTATGATGGAGTCTCACAAACGTTTCTTCTGCCAACATGATCCTCTCAATCTTTGCGTCATGCATAGTTCAGGATGACAGGCACGTACTACCATATGCAGCTATGGATTGTGAAGGGGGTGGGTCTCACAAGCTTTTCTACCCGGGCTGGATTTGAACCATGATTCTCCTATTTTCAGTCTCCAAAGTAGCTAGGACTTTCTTATTTGTTTTTTTTTTCTCCTCTTATTTATCTTTTCCCGATAAAACTGAGAAACTTTTTTTTTACCACCTCTTCCTCTGATCTTACACACACAAATCCCTTTGGGATGTTGTTAAATTTGTTTCATTAAATTGATAAAAGTGAGCATCTAAATTGGTTAGGTGATAAAAGTGCACATTTGCATTTGTTCGTTTTGTTTTGATTTTTGATGCCAGTGAACAGTAAATTTGTTAAATTTATTGAGTTATAGATTTATTGATCTGCAGGTCAATTTGGTCTCTCATAGATTTAAAGAACAATCTTTTCCAATGATATCTTTGCTAGAGCTTTCCTTAATTTCACAACTTCTCTGTACTCTCGTATGCCCCTAAGTAGAGGTGTTTAGTGTTCAGGAAGAGATGATGTGAACAGGTGCAGTGTTGTGTTCTGTGTTTTACATTGGACCAGAACTTTGGAATTAGCTTTGTAAGTTGGTGTTTTCAGCTGGGATGGCCACCAGCATTGATGATACATCAATAACCACCGAACATTTGACATCCTGTTATAGATGCCACATGTAAAATCTGCAGGTTTATTACCTTGGGTGGTACTGGTATTTGAACCCAGGGCTTTATGCTTGCTGGGCAGGCGCTCTGCTGTGCCATACCTCCAACCCTCTTCTTGCACTGGCTGTTGTTTTGAGGTTTGAGATAGGGTTTTGCGTCCTGCCCAGGAACCTATCTGGACCACAGTCTTTCTATTTTTTGCTTCCTTCTGTAGGTGGGATGACAAGCGTGTGCCACCACACCCAGCTTCTTTCTGTTGAGATGGAATTGGTGGACTTTTCTGCCTGGGCCGGCCTGGAATACAGTCTCCCTGATCTTAGCCTTCGCTATAGCTAGGATGGTAGGTTCACATTTCTGTGGTCAGCTGTTAGTTAAGCAGGGGTTTTGTATGTCTATCTGGGCTGATTTCAAACTGAGTACTGAGATTGTCCTGATCTCTGTGTCTCAAGTAGCTAAGATTACAGGCTTGTGCCATGGGTAAGCACCCAGCTTATCTTGAGGTTCTTTCTGCTGGTGAATAGTTTATTTATTCTCCCTTCCCCATGCAGAACTGATACCCTTAAACAACAACTCAGCCTCCAATCACCTCCAATCAGTCAGTGCTACTCACTTTCACACTCCTTCCTAGTTAATGCCATTAGTTTAAAACATTCCAGTGTTTGATCTAGAGTCTGATTTTTCTGTGTAGTTAATTGATTTTTTTTCTACACATAATCACATGGAAATTTATCATTACTCCTTAAAAACTGCGATCCTTAATCTTGAATTGCTGGGTGTTTTCAATGGCTGTACACAGTCATCTTTGCTGTCTCTATAAACTTTGTTAGTATTCATGAAGGAGTTTTACAGTTTTGCAGTGAATTTGTGTTCTGTGACTTTATAATAAAAAAAATTACATTGGCTGAGGCGAATCTGTTTAAATCCAGTCAGTCAAGCTTGCGTTCTTACTGTTCTAAGACTGTAAGTTCCAGGTCCCAAGCACTGGTCCTGTAGATTTTAGAATGGCATTTAGCTTCTGTCACCTTGGGATTTAGTATGGCGATGGGAACTTGTGTTGTATGGCCTTCCTGCCTGGGTTGGAACCACTGATTACCTCCTGCAAGGAGGCGGTCTGGGGGACAAGTGGCAGAAATTCTGAACTGTGTAGCCAATGAATGAACTGATTACCTAATCTGGCCAGAAGCCCAAGGTAATGCAGGCTTCAAGCTGTGTAGACAATGGTCCTACCTATTGTGTACTTATTTCTTCTACGTCGTGGTTAGCAAATAAAAGAACTGTCCATCTAGGCAAACTTGAAATAAGATGGCTAATGGATCTTTGTAGCATACAAATCTTGTGCAAGATTGGAGACATACTAAGATATTTTCTTCTTTTCTATGGCCACCAGGATCTGGCTATCATTTTTCTTCCCCTTCCTTATTAAAAGTCTCTTTCTTAGAGGACAGACTAGAACTTTTATACTTGTAGTTCTAGAAATGTAGTTGTTGATGCTTTTTTTTTTTTTGAGCTTGGAACTCTTTTTTTTTTTAAACAACTCAATTTCCAAAGGCAAATCATCCGTTAAAGAAGCCAGGAAGAAATCGTGACAACAGTGATTACACTAATAGCTTCTCGTGGGATATGGAAATGAAAATGTCTCCTCGTTACTCCAGGCAGAACTGTACACCCTGTGCACCTTTACCCTGCAGTGACATACCACCGAGACATCTCAAACGACCCTTTCAATATTTTTCTTTTGCTAAACAAGCAGGCCTTCCAAAGGAGGCAAAGGGGAATTTAAATGATCGTGGCTTCATCTTCTTAGGAAGATGGGATTATTTCAGGTCACACCGCACATTTTCTCCATGCAAACTCTTTTCCTTGAACAAACAGTCAAATGCATCTTTAAGATCTTTGTCTTTTCCTGTTTGATTTCAAGCAGATGTATCATGGGAAATATCCTTCTTGGTCCGGGAGGGAATTGTTGCTTTCTTGTCTCTACAAAGTGATGGCTTATTTATACAGTGGCATACGCAAGATGACAGCCCTGGAGGAAACCACGTCGAGTGATCCTTTGGGGGATGGGAGGAGTCTTTTATTTCAGTGGAGAAGTCTTGGTCAAGCTTATGTTAGTCCCCAGCGATGGCAAATCAGAATGACTTTGTATGTGTGTCCTGGTTTGATGCTCAGAACCTAAACTTCCCTCACAGACGGCAAGTGCTTTGAGATGCTTCTTTCTAAAACACTTTGAACAGGGCGTGACTTAACTGTCACACCAGGGAAGCTGAAGAAGATTCCAGCTTCAGCCTTTCAGAGCCCTCCATTTGAATTGTACGGACAGCCCTCTCTATTAGCCTTTTCAGTCTCACAAAGATTTTGCAAGGAATGTGAGAACACTCCCCAAATGGACCAGAAATTGGGGGAGGAGGATGTCACAGAGTCTTAAGTACTTGGTAGCTGTAAAGGAGTCACTATTAGACAGACACAGAATGGTAATGGTCAAGATGAAGGACATACTAATTTAAATAGCAACCTTCCAAGCCCATTCAACAGGGGGGGCCAGCAGCACTGGCAATGAATCTGTCTGCAAGTTTGTCTTTATGACATCTGCTCTTGATGGAAGTGGGCTTCTACTGGCTCTGTGCACAGCCAACACCTTTGTATGGATCCACTCTCTGTGGCTTTTTTTTTTAATAAGAAGTTGTCACTGCAACACAGGCCATCACTTTGGCAGCTGCTTCAAAGAGAAGCCATTGCTAAGCAAAGCTTGCTTCCCTCTATTACCATAAACACACCAGTTGCCATTGGACCAGTGCAATCAAGTAGAAATTGCAATTAAATTTGCTATCAATCACATATCTCCAGAACACTTGATGTTTCATCCAACATGTGTTTTAATGTATTCTTGCTTAACTTGCTTTCCCTTATGGAAGGTATGGAGTTAAGATCTCCACAGCATCAATCTTCTATGATGCAGCTTTTCTTAAATCTGGTCTCTTGTGTATTTCTTTCTCTCTTACTTTCCTTACCCTTATGCTGCTGCTGCTGCTGCTGCTGCTGCTCCTCCTCCTCTTCCTCCTCCTCCTTCTATTTCTCCTCCTCCTCCTATTTCTCCTCCTCCTCCTATTCCTCCTCCTCCTCCTATTCCTCTTCCTCCTCCTATTCCTCCTCCTCCTATTCCTCCTTCTCCTCCTCCTCCTCCTCTTCTTCGCTAGTCCTGGGGCTTGAACTCAGGACCTCGACATTGTCCCTGAGCTTCTTTTGCTCAAGGCTAGCACTCTACCACTTGCACCACTTCTGGATTTTTCTGTGTATGTGGTACTGAGAAATCGCACCTGGGGCTTCATGCATGCTAGGCAAGTGCTCTACCACGAAGCCACATTCCCAGCCCACCCTTATACTTCTTGAGGAAGTGCTTAGGACAAAATTTGTCCGTTTGTGTGTTTTTCTCCCCAGTTTCACTCTCATTTTATTGTCCTCTCATTTTTGAGTTCTTATTCTGATTTTCTACGTCTGCAAACTCAGCAGTATATTACAGAGCTTTCTAGTGTACATTGTTTTATTGTATGATGTAGAGGAGCGCCCACGGCTTGATCAGTAGAATAATATGTATCTATCTAATAGCTTCCAACAGAATGACTTGAGAAATTGTTCCTGAGAATTCCACCCTTTCTTCTCTTGGCCTCTGGTTTGA